ACAAGGACTAGTGACCAGCCGATTGACACCCGTGAGGACGACTAAGGTGCCTCCCGTTTAGCTGAAGCAGAGGCCAAAGTAGTGTGTTGGGGACAGTACCTCGCCCCTCAACTACCAGGACCCTCCTTTCCAGCGACACGGGTCTCCACGCACGGCAAACACGTGGGTAGTTTTCTCGCCACTCGAAAACTAGAAACAAGATGTGTTCCAGCCTCTCGTGACGAGCCCCAAACTCCGTAGAGAGAAACCACAAGGGAGAAGGGAAGGTAAAAATTTCCAGCCAAGAGGAGAGGAGAAGGAAAAGAGGATAGATCACTGGGGCTCCAGGATCGTGACACCCGTCTCATCAAGAAGATGATCCCCTGAAGGGCTAGGGTACCTCGGGATTGACACACCCGTACTCACAAAAGTGAGCCCCCTGAGGGCTCAAATAGGTGGAGTCATCGATATAACTATCGAAACTGTTAAATAAATAATTCGATTCAGTAAGTTATTCGAAAGAAGTCTGCGTAGGAAGATTATCTGTCTTAAAACGTTTGGTTGGCTCAAGGTAGGGCGGTGACAGAGAGACATTGACGACTATTTACAAATTGTACTAATTGGTCATTGTAGCGAAATCCTCATCATGGCTCCTGAGAAAGTAGTCCAGATCCTCGAAGTCTTTCAGAAACAATCGTTACGGATAATTACTTGTGTAGTGAGATCTACTCCTATTCTTGCAATGCAGCTTTTAACAGGTTTGGAATCTTCTCATGATTGTATTAAGAGAAAAGCGATCCTATTATACCAAAAGCTGGTGCGTTTGCCCGACAACCCTTTTTTGTAAGAATTATATGGACATTTCTAGGAATCTTGAAACTCAAATTGGCTTTATATAGGATGCGGCAGCATTCATAGTAGGATATTAAAAGCACACCATAAGACAGTAACTGTAATTTATTTATTACCTCTTATGTCAATTAATAGTTAAAGGTATGCCATTTACTAATGTGTAAGTCATTGTCCATTGCGTGGGTTAATTTTTGAATATGATGCCCCTGCACAACACATTCATCTAGGCGGCGTTGGAAGCTTGCCATAACTCGGCGTAACGTATTCGCTGGGACATTGCCGAAGGCAGTTCGGATGCGATCCTTCAACTCAGAAATGGTGGCACAACGTGTTCGGAAAACTTCTTGCTTCAGGTGCCTCCAAAGTCGGCACATGAAAGATCAGGTGAGCGAGGCGGGCAGGAAATGTCACCAAAACGGGAAATTGCTCTACCTTGGAAATGTTTGCCGCAATGGTCCGTTCATCTGGAACTTTCCCATAACGTCCCAAGTTGAAATGTTGCCGAAATAGACGCTGGGTAGCAATAAAAGAGAAGTTATTCTTGAAATAACTTTTCAACAGCAAAGGCACGATGCTGTGCACTCCAACGATCCATATCACTGTCACACTCGAAATGACAGCTCATTAGTACACGAATGCGGCACGAACTGGCGCGCATTCATGCATTACGTCATTGTGTGATTACGCTATAAACGCTGCCGCCCCCTATACAAGCTGCTCAGAAAGAATCCGGTACTTTGGAGTCGAGCTGAGATTATCTAATTTTACCTCCTCCCCATTGTACATTGGACTTTTTGAATTTGAATATAAATCTCAATCTTATTCAAAGAGCTGTTAAAAATGAAATGAGAGATTCAAAATTAAGATCAATTGCAATGGAAACTATTGGGGTTCGCTATCCTCAAACTGAGTGGTTGCATGTCTACACCGACGGCTCTATGTTAGAAAGAACGCGCGGTGCTGGAGCAGGTATCCATAGCGAGCTTTTCAGTTTCTAACCAGTTGGCCTTTGATAGTGAAATCGAAGCTATTCAACAACTGTCGATTCGTAGTTTCTTTTGTAAAGACAGTCATATTGTCAGATTCCAAACGTGCACATCAAGCTCTTCTGAATAATCAAAATAGTTCCCAAAGAATTTCCTTAAGGCAATGGCACACAGAATTTCTTTCCAATGGATTCCAGCCCACTGTGGAATAATGGAAAATGAAAATAACTGATGCTCTGGCTAAGAAAGGAACGTTCATAATGCAACGCATTAATCGATCGCTTTCATTTCATACAACTAAATTGTTTGTTAACCTGACTTTTAAGAAAATTCTTAAGCGGGATATGATTCAACGTAAGATAAGACTTGGAGGATTCTGGAGGAACATACAACTTTCATTCCCAGTTTTTCAAGAAAGACAGCTAGACGTCTGACCGGACATGACTATTCACCTATATATAATAGGAGTAGTGGATTCCCAAAACTGTATTTTGTGTGACTACAATCAGCCTATGATTTTTAAAAATTTAAATTATTGTATTGCATTTTCTCGGTATGAGGACACTGTTAAAAAATACTGGAAAGCCTCTGAACTAATGGCGCTAATGTTTACCATTTGTAAAATAAAATAAACTTTCGATGCATCAAAATAACTTTTGATGTAGTTTAGCTGATCGAAACTAGTAAAATTGTACAATGAATACAGCGCTGTATACTAATATGGTTATTCTTTAAGAATCTCGTCAGGCTCTAAAATACTCCTCTGATTCTCTCTCTGGCTTTTGGACATTTTTGGTCACCCTTCTTTTTCCATTGCCTTCGATTTCTCTGAAGAGATTTTCTGCGCCTCCGGGGCTTTTTACTTCATCTATCTTTGGGCTTTATTTCAGGAACCGGCAACGTTGCATTCAACAATAGCTCGGTATAATATCAAGTGTAAGTTGTTCATTCTCAGTTTTTACTTCCCACAAATGTAGCACTTATTTTGAGACAATTTTTTCGAAGCAAATGTACCTGCTTTGCAAGCTCTAAAGCTACGCCCTTTCTGTAAGGACTCTACCGCCAGTATATCAGAAAGATCTTGCTTATGTGATTAAGGCAAAGCCTTGAAGGCTGTCTGTCTAAGGGAAGGGATGTCTTCGTGGAGGACTTTCTAAAGGAAACTGGCTCGTATACATGAGACAGATCATTGAGTTCCAAATTCATTAGCTAGAAGATAGTTTTATGCGATTACTACCCCCTCCGGTGTCAATGCAGAGAACTCTGTAAGACTACTGCCTAGGATTTGCACCTAGGCAGTCTCGCAACAGGCATACAAAATCATTGAGCTTCGTGGTGCCCCTTCACCTATGGGTGTTCGTGGGTAAAACAGTTTTTAATCATTCGAGCAGCCCCTAGGATGAGGTGTTGTAAGCCTCATGTTAGACCCTGTGCACCGGCTTCGGGGTTCCGCATAGTACTGGCAGGTAGCACTTTCAACAGCCAGTCAGATCTCCAGGCGTGCATGTTCCCCACCACGGTGAAACCTGAGAATCGGGAGTGGTGACCCTACGGACTCAGAAGGTAGCCGTTGTTATACAGAAACTTTTAAAGTCTGCCATTTCAGATTGGGAACCCAGAGTAGTAACTTGATTGATGTACATTTAACCCTCTCGGGGAATTTCGACTGGTGACACAGTTGAAAATGGGGGTTCCTCAGTTAGGACCAATCCGTGTACTGTCGAGCGACTGAGTATGTATACAAACACTATTACTATGGAAGAGTCCTTTACATTATTGATGGAAGAGTCCTTACAAAATGAGACATGGCTTAGGGGTGTGTAAACCCTGGATCTTTTAAACAAATTTTGTACTGATTTAAGGAGGGAATGCTTGGTAAGTAAATGTTCTTGACTGATAACGTAGCACCTTCAAATTTCTGAAAAATATTCAAACGAAATCATAAAATCTTCAGCAGCAATAATGAGTACAAAAGTATTCAAATGTAGCAACTAATTTGGAACAAAGGGAGTAAACTTAAATTGTAACTATCTTCATTAAACAGTATTAAAAATGTCAAATAAAAAGTAATGAACAAATATGCGTTTAAACTGAATTGCATGGTAATGATTAACTTGCAGAGAAAGAATTAATTGTAAAATCTTAATGATGATCTGTTGTAATGGAAATTACTATGATTAACTGAACTTTGGAAGAACCTTTATGTATGACTAAACTATTATGACTTTAAGCATAATAGTTATTAACTTTAAGCATAGTTAAAAAGCAATATCACATAAGTATTAACTTTAAGCAATATCACATTGAGAATAAATCCAGATATGATGGTAAAGTTGTTTTAAAATATAATTGAATTTCATGGAACCTTGGACAACTATTTAGATATCTTCTACTTTACATGCCTTATTATATATACCTTTTTCCAAACCCTATAATGCTATGTCGACTAACAAAGAAAACAGCAAAGTGCAGTGAATACAGCACCATCTATTGGCAAAAGAGAAAAGAAGAAATTAATTCATACATAAGAAATCTGAAACCAACAGGCGAAATTGCACTGGAATGACTTAATTACTTAAAGACGTAAATTACACTACTTAAATTTATTAACAAAAAATGAAGTCTTCAAAAGAATTCAATTCATCAACAAGGATTGTGGGTAATTTCAAAGCTGTTGACAAAATTGAAGATTTTATTTAAAATATAGCCTAGTTTAAGTTGTTTAATCCAAAACAATCTAGGGCATTTCAGAAATATATGGCTACCTAACGTTCTGAGAAGACAAAACAGTTTACACCTATGAAAAGTTTATTTTTCCCCTTGCCTGACTTTTGCTTTCCAAATATTCAAATATTAATTATTCAATAAAATAACCAAAAAATTTATAAAATGTTCTTTTATTTCACTAATTATTTTTACAAGCAGCATTACATAAGAAAAAGGATTAAGTATAAAAAACCATAAAATTTTATATTTTATTAAAATTCTGATATTACAAAGTCATATGAGGGGCATTCACACATACCTAAAGTAATGGAAATGGAAATGTCAGAAAGTGTTACAGTACAAAGTCCGTAATCCGGACTCGTCAGGACTTCGGCGATTCCGCATTAGGGGTTTTACCGGATTATAGATCATCAATTTAAATCTGGTAAGATGGCATGCAGAAATTATACAATTAAAAATATCAAACCGTAATTTATGAAATAAAAAGCAATTATGGTCTAAAGGGTGTCAAATTTTACAAAAAAAAAAAAAAAAAGCTGAATATTTGTTTACTTCATTAAACATTTCTTTCAACGCGCGCATGCGCAGAGCATACATTACGTGCTTGCGTAACGCGCATAATGTATTTGTGCACATTCTTTATGTGTATGCATAAAGCATACAAAAAAACGTTTGTGGCCTTTGAGATCCGGATTATAGATCATTGCGGATAATGGACATCTGAATTACGGACTTTGTACTGTATTAAAAACACAGTTCACATATCGGAGGTATCAAAACAAACACAGAACATTCAAATTTTATCAGCAGTTCACATCTCAAATGCATATATAAGTAAATATAGAAAAATAGCACATAAATAGACATGGAATGCCTATTTTTATCACAGCTCTTTGATCATCTGCATTAACTACATCACAATTTATCATGACGCCTTACGAATACATCTGTCGCATGCTATTATAGAATGTATATATGTGTGTGTGTGTATGAGTAAGATAAATAATTTGTACAATAAAAGTGTAAAAATCTTTTTTAGGTCTCCTTTTTAATTTGGTTATTTCTTCTTTCTGCTCGTAAAATAGTAATATACTTTTAATAAATCTTTATTAAGTGTACCCTTTCAAAACTAACCCCTGTCATATGATTCTTATACAACACTCAGGATATACATACTTGCATAATGACAAAAATGAAATAAGTCTTTTTGCCAATAATAATATTACATTTTCAAATTAAAACTCTTAACCAACCAATAGAACCAAAGCAGAACCACAACTCCCTATTCTTAATCTAGCACCCATATTATAATCTATTCACTCTTCTCTCTCGCTTGAAATGTTGTTAAATGCTTCTTTGTTTCACTCCAAATATCTTACTACGAATACGTTAATAGATTCCTGATTCAATTAATTCAGTACTCACTTCCGGGCAGGGCTAAAATACATAAAACTGCAAAATATCTTCATTAGATACTGAAATATATAGAAAAACATAAAATACCAAATACAGTTAAAACAATTTTTACAATTAAAACTAGAATTTCTATGAAAAAACAAGCAATTCGGCCAGCAGACAAGAAGGCAGATTTTTTGGTGCACAAAACTAAATGTTTACTTTTGGTCCCACTCAGATAAACAGTATAAAGTATCAGACAATACTAAAAAAATTAAATTTCCCTATACAGTCAAAAGTCGTTAATCCGGACTCGTCTGGACTTCGGCGATTCCGGATTATAGATCATCAGTTTAAATCTTTTAAGATGGAATGGCATGCAAAATTATAAACTAAAATAAAAAAATGATATGAAACCATAATTTATGAAATAAAGAATAATTATGATCTAAAGAGTATCAAAATTATAAAAAAAAAAAAAAAAAAAAAAGCTTAATATTTATTTGTTTACTTTATTAAACATTTCTTTCAATGTAAGTTGTTTTGTTGGCTTCGTTTTTTATGTGATAATACATTCTCTTTTATTCTATAAAACAGACATAATTTCTTGTTCAGTTACAAGTTCCGCTGTTCAAGTCCTATAATTGGCTGTGTCGAGAAGAATACCGACTAATTTGTCAATCGAAATTTTTTCGTTTTCAATAACCTCTGTCACTTTCTTCGCTATTGAAGCGAATTATAATGACGAGGGAATTTGATTTAAATTAAATCATATCAAAGACGGAGTATATCCAGATGAAATACTACATTTAGTAAGGAATTATAAACCAAATAAAATAAAAACATTTGCCCTGAAGATAAGAATAGTGTTGACAGATCAACTTCCAATTCATTGCGCGCCGCGGCGTTAAAGATAAACAAAGTTTAGATAAACAAACGTTAATGTTTAGATAAACAAAGGATATGCCTTTATCCATTTTTTGCATCAATTCCAGTTTTTGTTTAATGGACTTTGAAACATACTTTCGCTTTGTAGATCCTTTACATATTAGTAAATATATATCAGAAATTCTATTTGACATAATCGAAAGTTCAAGCTTACTTTTATAAAATAGCTCTAACAGTCTGCAAAAAATAATAAGCCGGATCCAATTCAAAGATTAAGGAACAACTCAATCTGCAACATTAATTGAATTAGATAATTTTAGCTTAGCTTATACCGTCCGTTATACATTAAACGCGCATTCGTAAATGTATTTTGCACATGCGCAAATGCGTATTCGCAGTCGTAAAGCCATAAGGCGTCAACGCGATGCATGCGCAGAAAGTTTGTAGCTTTGAGGTCTGGATTATAGATCATTCCGGATTATGGGTGTCCGAATTAACGACTTTTAACTGTACTCATCATCACGAAACCACTGAATAGTGAAAAGGTTTACTGCATCTACAGAATGTCAGTATCAAGCAGCAGTTTCAAATCCAAAATATGGTCTGTAGTAAGAATGCCCTTTTGTAAATCAAACAACAAATAAAAATAATGATCCTTCTGCAGGTCCAGCTACAAGGATTTAATGACATTTGTTTTGTCCATTAGAGGAAAAAAAAAATTAGCCATAACAAACAGCATAAAGTACCAGACAATACTAAAAAAATTAAACTTCCCTACACTAATCATCACAAAACTACTGAAAATTAAAACAGTTTTGCAACACCTACAAAATCTCAATATCAAACAGCAGCTTAAAATCCAAAATAAAGTCTACAAAAAAAACGCCTCTTCACAAAGCAGATTCAAACAAAAATAAAATTAAAGTTAAAATTATACATGAAACCTATGAACCAAACACAAAAGTACAAGATAATATTAAAAAAAATTAAACTTCCCTACACTAATCATCACAAAACTACTGAAAATTAAAACAGTTTTGCAACACCTACAAAATCTCAATATCAAACAGCAGCTTAAAATCCAAAATAAAGTCTACAATAAAAACGCCTCTTCACAAATCAGATTCAAACAACAAATAAAATTAAAAGTTAAAATTATTACATGAAACCTATGAACCAAACAGCATAAAGTACCAGACAATACTAAAAAATTAAACTTCCCTACACTAATCATCACAAAACTACTGAAAATTAAAACAGTTTTGCAACACCTACAAAATCTCAATATCAAACAGCAGCTTAAAATCCAAAATAAAGTCTACAATGAAAACGCCTCTTCACAAATCATATTCAAACAACAAATAAAATTAAAAGTTCCAATTATTACATGAAACCTATGAAAATTATTTTTTCCTAGTATTACCAATTTAACATACTTTATCATTTTACATACTACTTACCAATTCAATATACTTGAATTTTTTTTTAAGCATAAACTAGCATCAAACTTCTAACCAACATGGAGCAAATTACCGCTTGGTCTGAAGAAACAGAGTCTTACAAAGGTTTAAAACAAACATTTTACTGCATTAGAACATGAACATAAAACACACATCTTGTGCTCACCAAAATTACCACTTGTGGCGACTGACACTCAAAGTAACAGCCAAACTGGAATTCAAAATTAAGTCTAGCAGTGAACGACTAAATAGTTGATTTTAAATTAGAAGTTGAGTCAGAGCCACTCACTTGCATAACAATTAAATCTTGGCAGCAATAGTGCAAAGCCTTATGAGATCTAGTGAACCTGGCAACATGCCCTGAGAGGAAGCACTCTGTCTTAAAATTCTCGATTTAAACACTGGAATCATTAGCGCATTCTCGTAAGGAAACAGAAAGAAGTAATAGCAAAGCTGAAATTATAAATAAATGGTTATTTAAAATAATAATAACCTTACAAACTTTACCCGTCTTAATTAACATATTCTATACCTAGGTAATCAACATTATTTACTAGAACAAAGCAATCTGCAAGCTATTACATCACACCCTTAACACTGATGTTTGCATTGCTAATTATCATTACACTACAAATTAAGCATTACCAGTTACTTTGCTCATTTTAATTCTCATATACCATATCTATACTAGGCAGAAACAGTCTGCATAATATTAGCAGTAATTTGCAATCCACCAGGGTTCAAATAGCTGAGAACTCTGAATACTGTGGTTTGACTGTTCTCTTGGTACAGGAAAAAAGCTGTCCTCTTGGACATTACCTTTTAACTACTTTAATAAACAAATCAATAAATACTAAAATTCCCATTAGTATTCTAACTAAGGAATTGTTTTTGATTTTAGCCTGACAAACTAATATTATTTCTTGGCACCTCATAACTTTAATTCCATAATTAATTTAAGAAACCAACATTTCAACTTCAGCTATCTTATTATAAATTCTATTTCAGAATCATTATTAAAACAGAAATTACAATCAGCATAAATCTATGATTAGCTCCACAAATCTGAGAACACTGTCCTATAATTTACTCCTTTCAACCAAACAAAAATGACAACTAATTTAATCGCCAATTTTGGATGCCAATTAATTTGCATCAGTTTTTATGCCTACAAAAGGTACACTCAAACAATAAATCACATCTATTCTAAAGATAATCACCCAAACATCAATATTATACGGGATTATTAAAGAATTATTTGCATTAATCGAAATATAGGCTCCTCTTCTCTTGACACCACATACAAATCAAAACTTTTAAATTCAAAATCTCAACTCATATGACCAATATCATTGATGATTAGAAATCTTCACAGCAAATTCTGCAACATGTAACATGAATACAAGCTAATCCCTCTTAAAAAGAGTTCACTGCAGAGGCATTGCTTTCATTAAGCAGATAACTCTTATATGCTTTGCCACCGAGCAATTTGTGAGCCATACAAACAAAGAGTAAACTCCTGAAAAATGAAGTCATGTCATTTTTCTCTCAAAATCATTTAACTCAACATTTGAAATTGATGCCAAAGCAAAGATTCAGTATTAGCCTGTAGAGACATTAGGTATTTTGGAAGCAGGAGAGATGAAAAATATTCAATGCCTTTGCCGGGAATTGAACCGCAGACCTCTCAATTGCGGGCTAAGCGTGCAGACCACGAAGGCTCCCTAATAAGGTGGAAATACCTTATATGCTCCCCCCGTTTTAAAGGGTGAATGGAGTTTTTAGGGGACCCAATTGCCAAATACTGGGTGAGGGGAATCATTATCCAACACCCCTTTTAGTTCGGGCGCCACTGTAGAATCATTAGGTATTTTTTTTGGAAGCAAGCAAGATGAAAAATTAGCAACGCCTTTGCCGGGAATTGAACCACGGACTTCTCAATTACGCTCTGAGCATGCAGACCACTACACCATGAAAGGGGGGCGAAATACCTCATATACTCCCCCTTTTAAAGGGCGACTGGGGAATTTAGGGGACCTAATCGCCAAATCCTGGGTGAGGAGAATCATGATCCAACACCCTTTTAGTTCGGGCACCACTGTAGAGATATTAAGTATTTTGTAAGCAGGAAAGATGAAAAATTAGCAACGCCTTCACCGGGAATCGAACCGCAGACCTCTCAATTGCGGGCTGGGCGTGCAGACCACTACACCACGAAAACTCCCTAATAAGGTGGAAATACCTTATATGCTCCCCCGTTTTAAAGGGTGAATGGAGTTTTTAGGGGACCCAATTGCCAAATACTGGGTGAGGGGAATCATTATCCAACACCCCTTTTAGTTCGGGCGCCACTGTAGAATCATTAGGTATTTTTTTGGAAGCAGGCAAGATGAAAAATTAGCAACGACTTCGCCGGGAATTGAACCACAGACTTCTCAATTACGCGCTGAGCATGCAGACCACTACACCATGAAAGGTGGGTGAAATACCTTATATACTCCCCCTTTTAAAGGGCGACTGAGGATTTTAGGGGACCCAATCGCCAAATCCTGGGTGAGGAGAATCATCATCCAACACCCTTTTAGTTCGGAAACCACTGTAGAGATATTAGGTATTTTGTACGTAGGAAAGATGAAAAATTAGCAACGCCTTCACCGGGAATCGAACCGCAGACCTCTCAATTGCGGACTGAGTGTGCAGACCACTATA